TGGTCCTGTGGGAACCTACCGGCAGCGCCCCAGCTGTTCTGTCCCAGGCTCCAGATTCAGCAGCTGTTGAAACTGATCAGGCTGATTCCAGGAAGCTGGGGGCCGAGCAACTCTGCCTCCGGCTTCCTGTAGTCAGCCCCTGGTCAGTTTCAGCAGCAGCGGCTGAATCTGGAGCCAGTTCCTAGTTACGTACAAATTCAACTTAAGAACAAACCTATAGTCCCTATCTTGTACGTAACCCGGGGACTGCCTGTAACTTGAGTAGTCCTACTGAAATAACTCGTAATGAATATCCACTGTGTACTGCACTCCAGTTCATACAACCTATATTATTTTACTCCTGCATGACGCTTATTACCTGAGAATTTGGATCCTTGCTTCTTTGTGCTGATAAGAAGGCTACTGCCATAAAATATTCTGGCCATTCCAAGTAGTCCTCCCGTTTTTTAAAGAGCATTTCACTGCCAAGCCTACAAAAAACAAGACGGACAGGCAGTCAGTAAAGAGATAGCAAAAGTGGCTATACTTGCTTTTTTGTTTGTTTTTTAAGGAGATTCAATAAAAGTGCTTTACTGTTTGCTTTCCAAACAAGCTAGGGACCAGATTCTGTTTCTGATTACACAGATTTAAAATTCAGTGCAGTTATTCTGGATCTACACCATTGTAGACAACAGAAGAATCAATCCCCATGTGTTACAGATTCACATCAAAAGTTTAATGGGAAAGCATATGAGTGTTTTGCCAAGAACCTATAAGCATCATTTCCCTTCAAATAAAAGAGGCCAAAAGGCAATCATAAATTGAAGCTTTGGATGAAATAATTCAGTCTTTGAATAACTTAATAGCAGGCATTATCTATCCCTCAAAGATATCCCCCTACATATTTCTCAGAAAAGGTTTGTCCCCTGTTGCTGTATTACCGAAAGTTTTTCCATTCATGCAATACAATCTCTTATGCCCAGTGTTCTAATTGCAAACATCTGATTCAAACTATTTGTTAAGGCCAATAATAAATACTATTAAGCAGACTTATGTTTGGAATCTCTCTTTGTGGTTAAACATTTCTCTTGGTACCAATACTAGCCATGAATTGTCTTTACTTACAATGCCTACAAGAAATATTCTTGACGCATACAATTGAGCTACAAGTGGTTCTAATGGCTTTACTGTGCCCCTACTGCAAAACAAACTTGCCTCACTCAAAAGCAATTACAAACTGCCAGTTTCTTCTCCATCTTGTTCCCTAACACATGAATCAATAGATATCATCTAGGGAAGTTAAATATCAGTTAACTGGATACTTGAGTAACCTCATAATGTTATCGGTTAGTCAACTATTCTATTTGCCAGGGGCGGAGGTGGCAGCCACTGTATCAGAGGCAGCAGTGTGGGGTGCCAGGTGGCAGCTGGTCAATGAGGGAAGGCAGTTTAAAAACAAGCTCCCCTCGCAGACCAGCAGCCTGTTCCCCTGTGCTGCTGCTTCTAAGAAAGAGGCAGCAGCAGGGGTGGCAGCAGTCCGTCCGGGGGGAGGAGGATCTGAGCTCCCAGACAACACGAGCCAGAACTCTCCAGCAGGCTCTTAATACACTTGAAATGCAGAGCTGAAACTAGGGTAGGTCCTGGACCCAGCATGATCCAGGACTGAACCAGACAGACGGTCTGCCTGCCCGGCTCGTAATGCACTTTAAATGCAGAGCCGCAGCAGGTGATGGTCCCAGACCTGGTGCAAGCCAAAACTGAACCAAACTGCTGGCTAGCCTGCTAAAAAATGTACTGGAAGGAAGAGGGGGAGAAGGAAATGTGTGTACTCTATAGCATTAACCTACAGGCAGTCCCCGACTTACACGGATCCGACTTATGTCGGATCCGCACTTACGAACGGGGTTTTTCTCGCCCCGGAGCTCACGGGCGGTGGGTCGCCACCCGTGTCCTCCGGGGCGAGAAAAGCTTCTCCCGGTCTCCCTGGTCTGCTGGGGGGGTCCAGCAAAGCCGCTGGACCCCCCAGCAGACCAGGGGGACAGGAGCAAAGCCGCTGCCTGGGCGGCTTTGCTCGTTTGCCCGGAAGCAAAGCCGCCCAGGCGGCGGAACCTCCGCCGCCTGGGCGGCTTTGCTCCTGTCCTCCTGGTCTGCTGGGGGGGTCCAGCAAAGCCGCTGGACCCTGGCAACCGACGGGC